GCAGCAGCAGCAGCAGCAGCAGCAGCACTGGTCCTTTCGGCATGTGCCAGCTTTCGGGAGGAAACCTTGTTGGTGGCTTTTCTTTGGCTCTGCAGAGTCTGACAGCTTTCCCTCCTGCTCCTCCCCATGGCAGATGGGGCTGCGGTGGGGCTGGGCTCAGTCCCCACATCCCCAGCGATGGCTTGATGTCTTTTCTGGGGCTGGAGCCTGAGGTCTCCTCACCTGGGCACCCTGCCCTGGCTCCAGGCTTTCCCTCAAAGCCTCCAAGGTGGATCTCAGGTTTTTTTCCCCTTTATGAGTTGGGGCTGTGGCTCCCCTGGAATGACCAAGGTGGGAGGGTACCGTGTCCTCAAGGCTTGCTCAGACCCACCGTGTCCCCTGGGAGCACATTTCTAACGCCTGTGCCCTCTTGGTCCCTAGGAGGACAGCGCAGACCTGAAGTGTCAGCTGCATTTTGCCAAGGAGGAATCAGCCCTGATGTGCAAGAAGCTGACCAAGCTGGCCAAGGAGAACGATGGCATGAAGGAGGAGCTGCTGAAGTACAGGTCCCTGTATGGAGACCTCGACAGCTCCCTCTCCGTGGAGCACATTTCTAACGCCTGTGCCCTCTTGGTCCCTAGGAGGACAGCGCAGACCTGAAGTGTCAGCTGCATTTTGCCAAGGAGGAATCAGCCCTGATGTGCAAGAAGCTGACCAAGCTGGCCAAGGAGAACGATGGCATGAAGGAGGAGCTGCTGAAGTACAGGTCCCTGTATGGAGACCTCGACAGCTCCCTCTCCGTGGAGGAGCTGGCGGACTCTCCCCACTCCCGGGAGGCTGAGCTGAAGGTCCACCTCAAGCTGGTGGAGGAGGAAGCCAACATCCTCAGCCGGAGGATAGTGGAGCTGGAGGTGGAAAACCGTGGGCTGCGGGCAGAGATGGATGACATGAAGGGCCAAGGGGACCGAGAGCTGCCAGGGCAGGACATGCGGTTCCTGGTGGGCATCTCAGGTTGTGGGGACACAGGGGACACGGTGGCAGAGCTGCGCCGGCACCTGCAGTTCGTGGAGGAGGAGGCTGAGCTGCTGAGGCGCTCGCTGCTGGAGCTGGAGGACCAGAACAAGCTCCTCCTGAACGAGCTGACCAAGTACAAATCGGACCACGAGCTGGACGTGACGCTGTCGGAGGACAGCTG